TAAGGTATTCAGTAAACAGCACAGTTTCCATGTATTGTGTCATGTCGGCCTCGTGAGGTCGTAATTCACAATTTTAATGGCTCAAAGTAGGTACATACTAAAGTGCAAAGGGTGATTTACGGGGACTTAAACGCATTTAATCATTACCAACGTAGATTATACCGTAGGGTGTGTTTCTAATAAGTCATCTTGCTTTAAACGTTCGGCGACAAGATACGAAATAATTAATCAAATAAACGTGACCGGGAAGAGAAGACAAAAGCATTTGATATTTTACAATAATATGTCTAAAGAACAGGCACGTATACGAGTAGAAGAAATAGCCAGGATAATGTAAAAAGGATTTCTTAAAGTTGTGTGAAATATTATTAAAGCTGGTCTTTCCAGTAAGTACATTTTATTGCTTTGGTACTATCGATGTTTAGAGAATCATTCTGTATGTAGAGGAGGATCGTTTGATGCCTGTCTTGAAAATATTTCGTAACAATCTCTTCCTGTTAAGAAAGTTGGAGGACTTCGCTACTGTTCCTTTTTCACACGTAGAAAATGCATTGACTTGTCAAACAACAAAACTCTTTGAACAGTCGCGTCACGTCTTCTACGGTCTACGCACAAGTATTCTTGAAAAAGAACAGGCGAAGGATGTGCAGTTGCAGTTGCAGTCTGGATGCCTTCTCCTCATCCTTGTCAACCGTTTGTTCCGCTCCTCGAGAGACCCGAGATCTCGCCTGATTGCTTTTATTTCCCATTCACGTCCGACCGTCTTCAGATCGATTAATCAGAGATCGCATTATTACAGACCGTCGGCGTCGATGGAGCAAGCGACGAAACGAATTAAGACCTGATCATCAAACCCTTTTAATTTATGTGGGAGTCACCGGTCGGAATTATTCATAATATTCGCAACCGTTGGACGGCTAGCGCCGCACCATCGTCTTGAGATCATTATTTCGCTAACAAATCATTTCGAAATTCAATTGAATTGTTTAAAGAAGAACGATTATATTGACGATTCGTTGGTTTAATTATAATTGAAACAAACACCTAGATAGCAGGTTTAATTTTGTTCATCATCATCATAAGGTCATCAGTCTTAAGACTGGTTGGACACGTACCTCCACTCTTTCCTATCCTGAGATAAACTTCGCATTTCCCTAAAACTAGAACAGCCCACATCCTTAACTATTTGCGAAGAGTAATCTAATCTAGGCCTACCTCTACCCCTCCTAACTCCTGTTTCTGCCTCTAATATGTCTCTGACTAGACCTTCATGCCTGAGAAGGTGTCCTATCAACCTATCTCGCCTATTTTTTATTGTCTTCCATGGAGTTCTCTGTTATCCTATTCTTTCCAATACCTCCTCATTTCTAACCTTTTCTACCCACGATATCCTCATCATCCGCCTATAACACCACATTTCGAACGCTTCTAACCTTTTCTTTTCCGCCGCTCCCACTGTCCATGTTTCGCACCCGTACAATGCCGTGCTCCGAACATATACCTTTAACAACCTTTTTTGAATTTCTAAATTAACCGTTCGCGAGCATAGAAGTGACTTCTTTTTATTAAAGGCGACACGACCCTGCGCTATCCTCTGCTTTATATCCCTACTACTCCTTTCATCCTCACTTATCTGACTTCCTAGGTATCTAAAATCAGCCACTTCTTCTAATTTTTCATCTCCTATCTTTATATTCGCTCTTCCCCTACTTTTTCTTCCCTTGCATACCAGTATTTTAGTTTTACTAATTTTGTTAATAAACATTTATTGTTTTATGTTTTATTCACTATCAGTCGAATGTTTTCCGAACCTTCTCGTAATTATTTTGTATTACGTGTATGATTTGGGACTTCGGCAGCAGGTGATACGTATGCCGCCTTATTGATTTTTGCCGATGGGCATACATTTATAAAAATAATGAGAAATCCCGGTGCTTTCAAGAGTAAGAATGCGGAAATTATTTATACTTAATCAAATTATTAGGAATACCCAAACGATACGATGATATATCAAAAGTGAAGGATTGAAATAAATTTCGATCTGGATGGCTTTTGAATATACAGCATTTTTGTGATTTTCAAATTCTTCAATATGCTTGATCTTTGTCATTTGTGTTCAGAATTTTGATGTTGTCTTTCTTAATATGGTTATTTATGATATAATGGTTTAAAATACCTGGACAGTTATGTTTTAGTTGAAATACTATACAAGTGTTCTTTAAATCGATATGTTATGACGTTTTCATATTGACCAACGTAGATGAGATCACAGTTATTACAAATAATTTTACAAAGTCCACCGTTAAGTGAATAATCTGATTTTGGCTTAACATTTACTGAAAAATATTTCACAGCTATTGTCTTTGACAGTTTTAAAAAGTAACTCGCATTTTTTCAGTTTATTTAGTGTAAGGGTTAGCTTTTAACTTTTAATTGTGTATCAACCAGATAATTCTGTCACTGACATGACGTTAAATAACAAATATTTCTAATTAGACCGGTATATTTTGTTAAGTTTAAGTCAAATCTAGCCTTGAATCGGTATTAAGAAAGGAAACCTTTAATATATCCGTTTACATGCTTTCAAGAGGACATTACAAAACCCTTTCTAAACAACAAACGTAGGTACCTACATGCATATATATAATCTGTTAATGTGTTGCGCTTTTAATGGCCTCTGACCTTTCAATAGTCTTCTAGAAGGATATTCGTGTACTCGCTGTTAACGAAAACTAAAACCTTCCTCTTTATCAATAGCGATTGCGTGCAACTTTTTTTGGGTCCTAATGGAACCCATTAACCCTTAAATGATCTCAACTAATACGTACATAAATATAAATTATTCCTTTTTCTCTTGTTTCCATTACAAATACTATTAGTTAGCGTTTTCGATAGAAAGCTTTAAAGTAATTGTTTGGGATGAAGGCACTTTTCGGTTAAAACATGTACAAAATGGCAAAAGTTGAAATGCCATAAAAATAATCAGTTTAAATGTTTAAGGATTAGGGTTTTGTGAAATTTTATTTGACTTTATTAAGTGTTGCAAATTAAAACGCCGTTTTTGCCTTGGGGTCATAACCTATATAAAAGGATAGACAATATTGCATCGTTCTCAACCTTGGTGGTGATTAAACGTTTGAAGAAATGATGAAAGGGTTGCTTAGGTTTCTTTATGATATTCAGGGCGTTAATTAGTAATTTTAACGTACTTATTCAGTTGGAATAACAACTGGAAAAAAGTGGACGGGTCTAAATGTCTTTATTCGGGTGTATTGTTGGTTGCTTACACATCCTATACAATTATAATCGTCAAATTCGAGTGCAGAATTGGTTGCACCGCGAAAATGTTATTAAAGCTATTATTTCGATGGGCTCATGGTTAGCTAGAATAAGATTCCTTCAGGATTTCATTAGTGGAAAATGCAAATTTACGTATTAAAATTTCTACAGTGGTTTGCTTTTGTAAGGAATCGAATTGAGAAAATTTTCGATTAGAATCCGGCGTGATTTGCAGATATGATCTGAGTGTTGTGTTTTTGCTTGTATGAAGTGGTTGAATTATGGACTTACAAGTGATTATTACCTTTTGTCCTGGCGGGCATATTTATGACTTCGTGGGATTTACAACATGCACTGGAAATCGCTTAGTCCTGAAATATTAGTTTCCGTTCGGTTTCTGCTTAACAGAGCGCAATAACTTACAAAGCAGACACAATTCGTGACTGAAATGGTTAAGAGACTGCTGCCGCCGTTTAATCCATTGTGTCAAGAAATGTCTGTATAATAGTATTCGTCGTATCAATTCGGAAAACGGATGTTTATATTAACTACATACGTATATTGAAGTGAGCGAAGGTACAATCCTGAAAGCGCAACATTCCTTCTTTGGTATAAATTTAATACAGTAAAAGTTCCTTATTCGCGTTTTCATTATTCGCGGGTGAAAAAATTGCAACCCGTTTCCTGAATTCGCGGTGTCATTTATTAAGGGGATTGGCCGCAATAGACCGCTCGTGCCTAGTGTGAATTTTTCCGAAAACATGGGTTTCTATTCTAAACATTGTAATTTAACGCTGCGAGATAAATATCTAATTTTTTGTATGGTAACTGACAAAGGTTTACACTAACTCGGTACGTTTTTGGTTTTCAATAATGTGGTCATTAAAAGCTTTTACAAGTGCTTAAAGTTGATGCTTCTTGTAGGACACGTATTTTTAATAGAAATTAAAAAATTAAGAAATGCCCTTCGACAAGCTTTAGAACCAAGCTTTATCTATCTTACTACAAAATTTCAAACCTCTGTTCCAAATATTAAACTCATGATATCTAGAACCGATAAGCATGTTTTTATTCTACGGCGCGTGTACTACTAAATCCCTTAATGTATCGGCATCTTTTGAGTATCTACAGTTAATACGTGCTGAAGTGGCTTTTATACAAAATTAAACCGAGTAGAAAGCAGCATCTTTTGAGTACTATTGCCAAGATGTAACCGAGTGGACTCATTTCAAAATTCAAAACAAGAAAAAATCACTAAATTTTATTCGTCAGGAAAAATCATACATTCAGGGAAGGGGTACGGTTTTTTTACCTAAAAGTAAGCAAGGCACCTTCTCCCGAGAAGGAATTCCTCATTCTATTCAACTTTCGCACATTTTTTCTAGTTTTTAGTTGCTCTAATGTTGTAATTAATGTTAGCAATTAGATACCGGTGCATCGCAAGTGCGTTTAAATGTTTCGCTAAAATGTAATTTTGTTCTATAAATTTATTGTTCAATGTACATGTTGCATTTGTAATTTGTGTGTTAAAATTGTATTACACTCACACACGTACCGTCAAATAAAAAGTCGTTGGTGAATAAATTTTCGATATCCGTTCGCAATCAATGGCGATCCGTTTATAAATTGAATACATACGGAAAAAGGATTTCAATTTTATTTCGCTGCTATTTGTCGTGTAATTAATTACTTAGTGAAATAAAATGGCTCGTATTTGGTACCTTTGTACTGGTACGGTGTGACTCCTTTAAATACCATAATGGTGTCGATGAGAACAAGGAGCAGCCAGAAGTGGTGATAGTATGACGAGGACATTTCTTGAATCTGAAAATAATAAAGATTTTTAAAAATATTATTTATATTCTCGAGTCAAGGAAGTCATTAAGTACAAATTTGATGTGTTATTGATTGCTTTTCGTTCATCCGGCACTGTGAAATATTATTGGCGTTATTAAGAACAAGTTTTGAATCGAAGAAACAGAAAATTTTATGGTTGTCTATTAAAAAAACGGTTGCTGGAAATTTATTCTCACGGCTACATACTACGTTAATAATGCTAATTTTTTCAATGCTCACAGTTAGGTACCGAAAAAGATCTTTTGATAAAGAACTTTGAGTCATTGAACCTATAAGCTCGACAAATTATGCATTAATAAGAGTATCGAAACTTAACACGCTTGTACTGTCTAATTTTATTAGATGCCATGTAGGTACCTGTGTTAAAAAACAGGAGGAAAAGAATACCGTAAAAAATCTGGTTCCCGACGTGTTTGGTCAAAGTTGTTCCATCTGTATTACAAATAGAGGTAGACTTAGATTAGATTACTGTTCGCAAATAGCTAAGGATGTGGGATATTCTAGTTATAGGGAAATGCGAAGATTAGCTCAGGATAAGAAGGAGTGGAGGTACGTGTCCAACCAGTCTTAGGACTGACGACTTCATGATGATGATAATGATGACTTATCTATGTATTAAAAATACCGTTTCTATAGATGTATTAGGACATTTAATTAGACCCACAACTGGAGTGTGTTTGAGGGCAATGAAAGTAAGAGTATAGAATCTTCTTTATAGTAGATGTAAACATGTTGTGATGTTCAGATTAAAGTTCATCCCCCATTGTAATTTGAGCAGAGATGCTTAACGGATAATCTCGAAAGAAAAATACATCTATTTTAAGAGACCGTGCATATCAGGTTTCCTGGGAAGCTTTACAGTATTAGGTGAAAGCACCTTAGGGTCATCTGCATGAGCTTATAGGTTTATACGAAAATAAATTCGCGCATTGTCCATCTATTTTTATTTCTCGTATATTGACGGGTGATACAATGGAAACAAATGAAAATACGGTAATACAAAAATATTGATATGTAAGGGATGTGAAATTAGGACGAGATTTGATATAAAATTTGGAGATGAAAAATTGGAAAAATATACTTGTGAAGAGAGGTACAGGAAGACAAGTTCGTTTATAGGTAGTTTAGAATCTCGTGGGCCACGACCTTGGCCTGCGCAGTGACAAAACACCATCTATTTATTGATTTCTACTTAATTCTCACTAAAACCATTGGCTATCTAGCCGTCATCTTTATGTGGTTAACAGTCGAGTCAACGTTTTTGAAATGTACAGTATGAATCTAGTAAGGTCCGCCCTTTTGCGACCCATGACATTTTAAAATACCTCTACTCTTCCATTAGGGATGTAAAATATTGTAATAGATTTCAGAAAATGCAGATATTCGCTTATGATAGCAAGGAGTGCGTGTCCAACTAGTCCTATTGTGACGTACTGATTAAAAGTAACTTCCTTTAAAAATTATTCTTTGCCACAGGGCACCTATCGTTATCTGTGTCACGGAAATGTCAAATTAAGATTTCGTGATACGCTATTTTCTTTCGTTTTAACTTGAATAAACATTCTGTGGGCGATCTTTTGTGTATTCCCCTCTTGAGAGAACAATCGTAAGGGATACAAAGGATACGTCTATCTATTTAACGAATAGAAAACGGAAACAGCTAGAACGAAAAGGAAATGTTAAAAACAAAAAATTCCTAATGGTATTTAAGGTTACATTTTTCTGTTGTTAAGATGGTTATTCGTGAATATAGTTGAAGCATTTAAAAAATAAAAAAATTAAATATTAGAATATCTTTTCATACGATAAATTTGCACATCACTGTATATTTTAGGGGGGTGAACGGGATCTAAAATGTTAATGCTCCTATAAGTATAGGAGAAGTGGAAAATTAGCGGAGCGCCTTTTTAATTTCTAAATTCATTAATTTTCGTAATAAGTAAAATTGTCCTTTAAAACTTCTGATATTAGAAAAAGCACACAGTAAATCAATTTTAGGATCTATATGTCTAGAGATTTTCAAGAGTTTATAAGATACTTAATGTCTCACTCTATGTCAATTTTAAGCACAGTTTCTGTCTGAAGATGAGCGAATATGTTGAAACAATTTTTGAGGTTTTCTTCCCTAAAACTGCGTGTTTTTTCATACGATTGATTTACAAATTTTACAATAAGCTCCTCGTCAAGATTATCATGAGTTTTCCGCAAAAATTTTCAGGTAGGTATTCATTATCATAAGGCCATCAGTCCTAAGACTGTGACTAGACCTGTTCTCCTATTCTTTCTAATACCTCTTCATTTCTAACTTTCTCTATCCACAGTATCCTCATCATTCGCTTGAAACACCACATTTCGAACGCTTCTAACCTTTTCTTTTCCGCGTATTACCTACAGAAAAATCGTAAATCAGTAATAATTCCGTTTCGTTTTATGTGATTAACTATTGAACGCTGAATCCGTTTTGTAGCATGTTTTTTGTTATTGATGAGGGAGGGCGAATGTCTCTCCGATACCTCCTCCCATTTTGCAGCGACTGTTTTTCATTCAATTCAAGTAACTAAAATTTATGGCCTTTTAATTTTTAAGTGCCGCACAAACATTGCAATGCTGATTTATAACTGTTTGTGTTCGGCAATAGTTAATTAATTTGGTCCCATGCACCGTGCTCATCAATGTAACGCGCACCGGTGGCGCTTTTGTAAAATACAACCTTCCTACTTTTACCGCCGAATATTTTTCCTATAAATTGACAATTTCGTTACCATTACTATCATCCTTCTTCCTCTCTGTGCGAGGCGATTTTGAAAATTAATCGATCGAAGTTAATTTAAATTTGGCGTGTTCGTACGTTTAATTCTTACTGTGTAAGCCGATTTTTCATCGAAAATTTAAAACACTGAACATCATGGGCATGTTAATCAACAACTAACGATTTCCTGATAGTAATTTTTATTAGGTAATTAGATCATTTGACCACATCATTGAACTACTGATATACTGCAGTTAACATCAAATACCAATAGATGGCAATACAGGTAATATCCACTTGCTTTCCCGAAGTAGCTTCCAAACTGCCTTTGGCGTGCTGATGAGTGTAAATAAGTTCGAAATTGCCACCCGTGTTTGTTAGTTTTGATAAAATATTGACCAAGAAGTTAATATTTTTTATTACTGAACCCTCCTATAGTTAAATAATTCAAGGGTACGGTACTTATGCCTAATTCTGAAATAAATAATCCTCTTTAACTGATAGGGTTTGCTTGACAAAGCATAACTTTTTAAAACTGAGACGTGGAAGTATGAAAATGATAATTTATGGACTCTGAATTATTTATGAACAGAATTGGTAGGAAGAAATGTTTTTTAATTTTATTAATGTAGGATTTTAACGATCGCATTAATTCGTATTTATGAATGAAAAAGTACAACAAATATTCTATAGTAAGTGAAATAACTATTAATACCAATTATAGTTCAGCTAGACAATTGTTATAAAGCGAACAGTGATAAATATTCCATTCTCGCCCAGCTTTGTTTCTAAACAAAGCTTTGAGGAATCTTCATTAAAAAATCGTTTTCACTTTGGTGAAACACATCAGTTTTCCGGTTTGTATTTTATTAAAAATTCCCTTTGAACAATAAAAGCTCATTCAAAATAGGTTAGAGGGACGACAACAAAGCAAAATAATAAATTATTTTATGTATTTTAGTTGAAATGTGCATTTTATGCGTCCTATAAGTCCTATTTCTATGAATGCTCGCCATGAAATGGCAACTGGGTGCAATTAAAATTTTATCTTTTGTAAATTGATAACCAGTTATTATAGAGTGGTTGAAAGATTTTAGTGAGTGTTATGATGTTGTTGCGGTATTTTTGCCTTTTATGGCCACTTTAGGCCTTTTCAACGGCATAATATATCCATAAATAAGCTATAAAATTTATTGAAAGTACGGAGGCATTGATAAGCCGAAGGTAATATTTCATTTATACAACTTCTTTCAAACGGTCGCAATTTTTAACACGGGATCTCTTTAGTTCTTAGGTTTTTCTTCAACCGTAACAAATTGTCTTCACGCATCTATGCAACTATAAACTGATGATAAGAGATGCTATATGAGAACTTATAAGATAATGGTTTTTGTTTTGCAGCCTTTTTGATTCTGATAGTGAAAGAATTCCTTTCATAAAGCTTTTTTAAATGGTTAAATTGAAACGCTGTTGTAACTATTTAAATATATAGGTAAGAAATAGCAATGTAAATACCTACCTGAAGACGTTAGTGATCATTGGATACTAATTACGTGAAATATATAAGCAGATACAATAATAATTGATGTAATGTAGTCAGAGAAAAACATGTCCTGTGAAAATGATCCCGCGACATTCCTAACTAGCCAAGCGAATATTTCACCATCATTGACAGACTATGGTCGATGTAGCCGTGGGACGCTGATGCTATAATTTCTACCATCGTTCCACTGGGTTGCTTTTTTCGCTTAGTTGCACAGAAATGTGTGAAAAGTTTTTGTCATCGCTATTCTTACTATTTTCTTTCTTATATTGGTAGGTATATCGCTATTGAAATGGATAAATATTTTTCGACCTTTAGATTTAATCTTCATGACACCTAATTCAGTTTCAAACTTGTGGAAAATAGTCTCCGGTTTTCTATCCGACTCGCGACTGCTCAATATTGTTCACCCTTTTACTTATCGGTTCGAAAGGCATCGCACACGTATATACAAATCCTGAATGTGTTCGAAGGTTCGAACGTTTTTCTACAGGGAAATCGCCTATTTTTAATTAAAATCTCTCCGACTTATTTCCTTGCGGACTTCAATACTATTGACGTTGTGCATTTCTTCTAATTCAAGCAGACACCGGAATTTCAATTGGATGAAGTAACGATGAAGTAGATTTTTAAAATTAAAGGGGTTCAAGCTTTTTGCGCAGTAAAAATTTTTGGAAACAACAATAAGAAAAAATTCAAAATTACCTTATGTATTTGGTCGACTTATGAAAAATGCACTGTACAATTATTGTAAAAAACTACACTGTGAGTATGAATAGCACCCACTACACCGAGTATTTGTATAATGGTTCCGACATTATTAGTTCACACAATCCGATAATAATGTGTCTTATTTCAAGTGTCGCGATGTGTTTTTAATTAGTAATACGATGATCGGGGCACCACGTTTACCAACTGCACGGCGATGACGGTATCTACGACAAGTTCGAATCTCTTTGCTGGTTGTTTGCTATAGCAGAGACCAGGCGAATCTCGTCAGGCCGGCCTGCCCGTCGTCCACGAGGTCATTCTTGTTGGTCACTATCCACCGAGAATCGTCCCCATGAGTCACTCATTCGCTCGAGTACCTAATACCTGGGGGCCTTCGACTAGAATCACTTGTTTTTGTGTGAAAGAATTACATATTGGAACGTTGTTTTAATGGTAACGAATGTAGAATGAAGAAGAATCATTTTAGAATGGCGTGCATGTTCAGTTTGAAACTTTAGCTTGAGGATTAAGAAGAGTTTGAGCTTTATTTTCAATGTATGCTTTTGGAGTTACGAGTTTTCTTGTTCTTGACATGGGAACATTCAACGTGGGAACAATTACAAAAAGATTGTACAGGAAAAACATCTTTACAAATTTGTTCATATTCTGAACTCAGTCGTCTGAGAGATGTAGAATATCTTTTGCATTTTGAAGTAAAATTAAACACTTTCTGGAACGGTAAACAGTTCTTCCGCTAAATTTTGAGTATTCACGTCTTTATTTTTGTCGATTTTTCCAATTTCCGTCGGAAAAACGGTTTTGAAAACTTTCCCGCTTAATCCAGACACATAAATGGACAAAGTGTGTATTACATTTTAGTAAAATTGAACAAAAGAATTGCTTCACCTAAGTTTGGGCGGCTATTGTTAGTGTGTAATTAAAAATGTTGACCTGACTGCCTCGTTTTAGTTAAGAGACATATTAAGATAGGCGCCACTCACCCAGGTGCCTTAGATCCAGACTTCTGCAAGTTACCTCATACATTAACCCGGTTGAATGGGTTTACCAGTTAAAAATGTCTACGATTTTGATGTTATCGTTGATTAATATCGGCTAAAATTACAGCCCCTGTCTCTTTCATTACGTATCCACATCAGTTTCTAACGTATCACTTATCTACATATACATACCTAGTATGTATGTGCTTATATCTTATTAATTTTCATAGTTACTTAATCGATACTGATGAATCTAATGTCTACTAATCACAGGCCTTTGCATTTTTCAAATAACTGAACTATTTAGGTATTAATAAGCGAAGTAATGAAATATTAAAAGTTAGATTGGATGATACGTCGTGTGACTGCAAATTAATTAATTAATTATTGAACTGTTTCGAGATGCTTATAGGCATGGACGTTTATTTTGAAGTTGGTACGTTTAATTATCGATTTCGATGTAACGATTATGAATAAATATGCAAAACTGTAAACGTATAACGGCCAACGCAATCGTACTACCAAAAGTAGATTTAAAGAACACCCTTGCGGTATAACCTAAAACAATATTAATTCAATTTTGTAGCATCGAAAACTGACTTAATATTCTTGTTCTTCAAGTTGCAAACTTTGGGTGTTCGTACAGAAAAGTTGTGATTTGAGAAGAGCGATATTTGATGTTTATCTGACAGGCACGATCTATCTTTTGTTTAGCTTTCCAATTTGGAAGTTTGAAAGTTTAATATTTACAAAGACAAGGTCGGCTCCTGTGTTTCTCTTTAGGTGAATCGTGGCGCCAGAATTTTTACCGCTCTATTGTTACGTTAATAGGCCCACAACCTGTTTACAATGCGTGCCTGAAGACTTCATATTAACAAAAGACTTATTCTTGCGAAGGTAATAATTCTTACGTCAACCGTACACAGGGTGATTTTTTTTTTGTAGCTTGTCGCAAAATAAAGATTTGGTATTATGCACCTATATGTAGGTAATATTCAAATCAAAAAATCCTGTAAGTCTTTAACATGATTATTAGCTCTTTATTTAAAAGTTCTCCCTGTCTGTCCAATATATTAATTAATTAGAGATTACGGTTGTTTGTCAGAAACAGTTACACCAACTAAACACACCTTTAGGCTCTGATGGTAAAGACAGCAGTATATGGTTGTCATTTTGATAAGGAACATATACCTATTAGGATTTAATGTAGCAATTAGCTGTTTGTTATTGTAGTTGTTGTAAACAGATTATGTTCAATGAGTTGTTTACAAGTAAATTAGCTGTCAGTTCGATCGTAAGTACACAATAATTCAGTAAAGACTCTGATAAGAAAAGTATGCAGGTAATAAGGCAATTGAAGGGAATCTGTTTGCGCAAATGTTCTACGGAATAAAATATGCAAATAATTTGGTTCAAAAAAGTTAATACAAGTTCTAATTCTTCTCTGTTCTTTTCATTGTCATGAATATGCATATCGCTGCTTTGCAAGTGTAATTTTTATATTAATCTGGAAAAAGTACACCTGTTAAAGCGGCATGAACACGTGTGATTTCTGAAAGTCTGACATGCTAATTAATCGTTGCATTTTACATTTAACCAATGACTCGATGGAATTAATCAATAAATATTTAATGACAAATTCGTAATCGTTTGCTAAAATGGAAGAAAATGTTTAATTGTTTCGAAAATTGGCGTTGTATTATGAAATTGATGCTTTTTTTTCTAATAAGTAACTACTTACTAAAAACCTTGAGCTAGTTCAATTGTTCGTTAATTAGGAGTTCGTGGAATTTTAATTGGTTCGAAGAAAAGTGGTCACAATTTCGATGAATAATACAATTTGAGAGATACCATCTTAATTCATGACGGGAACTCATGTACTGACGTATCCACGTTGTTATAATGATTGATTTTGTGTCATACTTGTTTATAAACTTTCAATTAGGACCATTTAACATTGGTTTTCGGGAAATTACAACAGCTGGATTTAAAGTAAGAACGAAATTTAATTGTTACTAAATTCCTCAAGTCAAAATGAGAAAGATCAAAGAGATCTAATCTTTCAAGTCTCTCCCTATTTTCACTCTATTAGGAATGGAATTTTGAATGTATTTAAACGCCTCATCCCAGACTGCAGATTTCAGTGAATCTATCAATTTTCCTGTTACAGGAAAGAGCAGACTTGTATTAGTTGATCCTTTTTTTAAAATGGTACTTGTCCTGATTATCAAATGATCGCTGACCATGTACAGTACTTAGTGTGTAATTTCAACAAGTGAAAATGTCTGGCTTTGAAGATTTGCGATTAGACGATGCAAAGAGTGGACGATAATTAATTTACGGCCGCAGAGTCTTCCAGAGTAGGAGACCGTGAAATTGGAACGAATTTGCCTACAGCTAACATTGGATTAGGACGGCTTCCGGAATTAGCCACCTTTGATCTCGGCGGTTTTATTGTCGAGCTCGATGTTATTGAACATAATTCCTTTAGTATGTGACAGTTTATTTATTAGATACGGGCTACAGGTTTATCGCATGTTGAAAAATTATTATCTAATAATTAGGTAACGAGTATCGAGTATAGGAAAAATATAAAGGCAACAGGGAAAACATGTTTCAATCACCATTATGTGGATATTGCTGAAGAAGCGTTTGCTGCGGTATGTGAATAGTGTTGATAATCTTTTCGGTTTGTTATTTCCATTTTGGATTTAACCGCTTTTGATTGCGGACGATTTAATGGAAAGAATGGCATGGCGCAAATGAAAAATCGTAGATTGTTATTCGCTTTTTGCATTTGTGTTACGGTCCGCGGCTGACGTAGTACCTTTTAAATGAAAACTACTCCACTGACGCTTTTTATTCGCGCTTTGTTTGGTAATAATTAAACCAAAAGCACTTCACATAATGTAAATTGAAATTTGAGATTGCATTTTAAATTAAGCATATGCTTATTAGAGAGCGAATATAAAGATAGGAGACGAAAAATTAGAAGAAGTGGCTGATTTTAGATATCTAGGAAGTCAGATAAGTCAGGATGGAAGGAGTGGTAGTGATATAAAGCAGAGGATAGCGAAGGGCCGTGTGCCTTTAATAAAAAGAAGTCACTTCTAACGGTTAATTTAGAAATTCGAAAAAGGTTGTTGGAGCACGGCATTGTACGGGTGCGAAACATGGACAGTGGGCGCGACGGAAAAGAAAAGGTTAGAAGCGTTCGAAATGTGGTGTTATAGGCGGATGATGAGGATATCGTGGATAGAAAAGGTTAGAAATGAAGAGGTATTGGAAAGAATAGGAGAACAGAGGACTCTATGGAAGTCAATAAAAAATTGGCGAGATAGGTTGGTAGGACACCTTCTTAGGCATGAAGGTCTAGTCAGAGACATATTAGAGGCAGAAACAGGAGTTAGGAGGGGTAGAGGTAGACCTAGATTAGATTACTGTTCGCAAATAGTTAAGGATGTGGGCTGTTCTAGTTTTAGGGAAATGCGAAGTTTAGCTCAGGATAGGAAAGAGTGGAGGTACGTGTTAAACTAGTCTTAGGACTGACTGACCTTATGATGATGCTATATTTTGAGATCTTCTGTTCACTTTCCATGGTCTTTGATAAAACCATGAATTACAGTGACTCATTGATATTGGTGATTTAGTAAAATATCGTTTTCTGGATAGTCTGGATTATTCGAATAGATAATGAAATTATTCTACAAATGAAAGACAAAAAAATAAGAAATCCAAAGTGGAGTTGGTTCACTCCTTAATGAACGAAAGAGTTTCTACAAATACTGGCGCTTGAACTGGTCACACTTGTTATCTTAAGTGTTCTTTGTTCTTCAACGTTTTTTTTATTGTAAGTAAACTTTGCTGTATACTTATGTGCGTTTATCCAAGGAACTTCTTTTGTTTTACTTTGAAACTAGTTTACAACTGATGCATGTAGGTACATATGTAGATACCATACAACTAATTTAGCTTCCATCATTCTGAATATTATTGTTGTGGTTAAACTGAAACAGATTTATAGACATGGGAATGGCGTTTGCCTGTTATAAGAGGCGCTAGAAGTTTATGCGTATGTATATTGCGGTGATAAAATATCGCTGGTAATGATTTAAAATATCACTCCCGTCGGTGGTTTGATAACCTGGGTGTCGGCCACCAAGAACAGCGCCGCTTATTGTGGATGCATGTATGCAACAAGAAAACTCGTTTTGTTTTGCTTCTGTTTCATTTTACGCTCCGTTGATTGCGAAGCTCACATCAGTTCTACCGTTTACTATTAC